TTATCGGCCGCGTTTTTCGTGTATATCTTATCGAACCTTTGTTTTCGAGTGTCTTATTTGCTCGGGGCGAGTAATTTGTACGACTTGTAGCCTCGTTGGCATGAAGTAACGGAAAAAAAAAGAAGCGAAACAAAAGGAGAGGACCGGGTAGAGGGAAGGAGGGGGCGAGAGAGAGAAGTGTAGAGAGCGGCCCGGATAGAATATTTTCCCGTTGAATCTGTTTGTCGTCCCGTCGAAGCCGGGCTCGCGTCGCCGAAAGATTTACCATTACTTCTGCGGCTTCGCGACTGAAAACGAAACCTGTTATCGCCGTGTGTGTAACATGTAACCGGTTCCCTGAGAAAAATATTTTTTCCAACACGCGGCGCGCGCATGACGCGACGCGTCTTTTCAGTTCTTCATGATGCAAAAATCACTATCGGCGAAACCTTACGATCTCTCCCAGACGCGCGATAGTTATCAGGTATTTTAGAAACGAGTCTCTCTCGCTCTTTCTCTGTCTTTCGATAAGAAGTTATGTCCCATCTCTCTCTCTCTTTCTTTCTCTCTCCCGCGCGGACTTCTTTATTCGGATTGGGCGATCACGAACCACCGATTTGTCCCGATTACGTCACTGATGACCTTGATCGCCCACTGATTGATAAATCATTTCGAGCACTTGATCATTGTCGATCAGTACTCAGTATGTTCGCACTAAAGCGCTGATCAGGACCCAATTACCGTAGATCTCGCCGATCGATATTATCGGGACCCTAGCAGACTCTTCTTCCGTTCAGGTAAGTCTCGTTCTCTCGTGCGTTTCTTCCGTGCATCTCCTTACCGAAACGAAGAACGTTGCGCGAAGACTCAGTTTTTTACGTGAGAAAGGGAAGAAGTTAGTCGCGCGCCCTGACAACTGAATGAGAACTCGCTCGGACTCTAAGAAAGTGCACGCGTCTATCGCGATATACGGAAATACCTTGTAAGCCATGTAGTGATAAAATTCCCGTCGTTTTACGACTCCAATAAATCCTTTATTTCTGCGCGAACGTGGCGGACTCGAAAATGAAGCAACTCCCCATGCCGCGCGAGAAAGTGAATCCATAATGTGACACAAACGCGATCAAAATCTTTCCTCTCTTATTTTCCCCTCGTTCCCGATTTACTTTCTACACGGAGAGAATATTATAGTTTCTTTTCATTTAAATCCCTTTCAATTTTATGGTGTCTCTAATCGTTCAGGAACAGATTGTCAGTGAAGTCTGTCTTGCTAAGCAACACAGTAAATTTCTCTAGAACATAACAGGCTTCATAGCATAGGGAAACATAGCAAGTTTTTAACAGTACATTTCAGTAAGGGATGATCAGATTTTCCAGTTTCAAATCTAGAATACTTAAAAAATATGTGAAACGGGGGAGGGGGGTTGAAAAAATTATATGCGAAACAATATTTTATTTGTAGATATGTGTAAAAATTAATTTTGCAATAATGAAGGCCAGTTACGTACAGTAAAAACAGAAACAGTTGTTAAGAAACTGTTATTCTTATTTAAAATTGAAAAGAAGTCGCGTCCACTAGAGCTGTGAATTTTCTTGACAAGGTCTTTCTTTGTCAGAAGCATTTCAAAAATTCTATAAACCGGGATAAGCCAGGACAGATTAATCAAATCGATGTCCCGGATAGCACTCGAAAAGATCCAGGACAAAAGGTGGAAAACCGGGACGTCTAATCACCTCAACCTTCAGTTCCTGAAATATAAATAGCACATACAAAATGAAAGGATAGTGTGAATTACTGCAAAATGTGTGCGTGTGTCGATCTACACTGTAAAAAATTTGTATAAAATTACATTTATAATTTTGAGACCAACTATTATAGATGTAAATTTACACACGTAATTATCGCATAAAAATATATTTATATAGGCGAAAGACACATTTTGATACGTGTATAAATTTACAACTATAATAATACTTAGTCTCAATTGTATGGAATTTTACACAAATTTTTTACAGTGTACACCTCGGTTGTAAAATCCCATAGAAATGTTAACTAAAATTCTTGCCGTGTGGTAATCGAGCAGAACGACGAAGAAATGACGTGTGTGTATGTGCGTGCAGAGAAGGAGAGAGAGGAAGAGGAACGTCACTTTCGTTTCGTTCGCGGATCGATTCGCGCGGCGGACCCTTCTCTTCCTCCTCCTCCTCCTCCTCGTCGTCATCGTTGTCGTCGTCATCGTCGTCGTCGTCGTCGTCGTCGTCGTCATCGTCGTCGTCGTCGTCATCGTCGTCGTGCTTGCGTCCTCCGCTGCGTTTTCGCGTCTGGTTCGCGAGCAGAAGACGGTTGAAAAACAGGCGGCGTATTATGCGGAGTGTTGCGCGCCGGGGATGAAAGAATCATTGAAGCGTCTCGTGTTTCCAGCCCGGTATTAATTTACTCGTGCGTGTCCGGCCGATCATGACGCCGTCCTCCTCCTTTCTTGCGCGCCCCGCGAATGAGAGAGCGCGATATATCGGAAAGCCGCGCAAGGATAAAAGGAGAGATACGTTGAACCGGAGTGCAGCCGGAACGGCGGCCTGCCGTCGCCGCAAAGAGTCGTTCGCTGTTACAAAGTCGCTCGTTATCCGCAACTCCACGCGCCCCCTCTCTCTCTCTCTCTCTCTCTCTCTCTCTCTCTCTCTCTCTCTCTCTCTTTTATACATTTTTCTACGAGGTAACTTTGTTATAAGCATTATTTCGCTATCAAAATTGTGGCTCCTCGTGTATTTTCTGTACAGCGCTGGAGGCAACTCGGTGGGTACAAGTATTCACTTAAACTCAAGTAGATCTTTCATTTAAATAGAACAAACAATTGCTTTCACGAAAAACTAATGTTTTAAGAAAATGTACAGGTAAGGCCGGGGTTATTTGATTACCGGAGTAAAAATTGACAAAATTGATTATTTCTACTGTTTTTTAACAGATTTCAAAATTAAACAAGCAGAGATTTCAGAGTCATTTTTTACATGTTTAAAAATCTTGTTTGCTTAATTTTGTAATCTGTTAGAAAATATTGAAAATAATCGGTTTTGCCCCGGTCTCCCTATTTTCTTTGTTGAAAAAAATTTTATATATATATATATATATATATATATATATATATATATATATATATATATATATCAGTGTAAAAAAGTAAATTAAAAGTTCTTAACGTATAAATATCTTCTTTCCTTAGATGTTTTCTCTCATTGCAGAGACACAATTGAAACAAAATTGAAAAAAAAGTCCCACATAGCGTCTATAACGTCTTTCAAAAATAGCGCAATAATGCCCCTTCCCTGCCCTTTTTTCTCTCTCTCTCACATCGCGAGAAATGGAAAGAGATCACGTCCGGAATTGCAAAGAGAGAGCTGAAAGCACCAAGTCGACGACTTGGTCGAAATGACGTGTATCGGTCGGCGACGGACGACGTCGTCGACGAGGACAGACGCGTTTTTCGCTTTAGTAACGAGGAACCCGCGCGCGCGCGCATGCACGCACGCACGCACGCACGGCTATTGATCGATTAATTAATGCGCGCGCGCGAAGCGTAATGACTTTCAGATCGGACAGCGTCTTATTAAAGGGGGTCTCCGCGTGAATGCGCGCGCGCGTACTCGCGGCTCCCGGTGGGTGATGTAATTAAAGCGCGCCGTGTCTAGCGCGTAACGAGCCTATGCAAATGGCGAAAATTATTTATCGCTAATAAAGTCGGCCAGGAATTTTCCCAGCGCGCGCGCGCTGCCTGTGGTCCCGTGCATCGTGCGAACACACACACGTACGCGCACACACGTACACGACGCGGCGCGCCGTCGTCGGGGGATCGCGTGGATCGGCCTAAACGCTCCAATTAACTTCTCCGCGTTCCGCGTTTGCATGTAATATCTATCGCGCGTCCCGTAAGGTGGTCTCGTGACTATTTTACAAGTTGATGTAAGTAATTCGTTGAGGGGATACGAGCACGTTGCCGAGCGGCTTGGGATGTCGTCGGATATGTAACGTCTCGGCGCGGTCACATATTCCTGTTATACTGTACGAATCCTGCATGCCGCGAATCGCGTTCTACGAGTCGTCAGTCTCGAGAATGGCGGTCTTCCCCGATTCATCAATTGCCTCCTTCGACGTTTCTTCCTCGCGTGCCAGGAAGGACGGCTCTCGGCGATGAAAAATGAGGATCGCGTTAGTTTGTGAACACTGATAGAAATTAATTTCGTTACGGATTATTGTAATTTTTTTACGCCAATTGTGTTATTTAGATAAAAAGGGGAAATAGCAATACACGGAGAGGATTTTATGATAAAAATTGCTGCAGAATTTTGTAAACGGGGATATAATAGATCGACATTCTTAGTGAAATTTATTATATGTTCTTTAGTAGAATAAACAGCTTATTAACAGTATATTTTAGTATTCACCACTAAACTGTGAGTGTGTGTGTAAGAGAGAGAAACAGAGAGAGAGAGAGAGAGAGAGAGAGAGAGAGAGAGAGAGAGAGAGGAAATATCTGAAAAATAAAAAATAATTATTCGATAGGTGCAAGTAAAACATATTTACTTAAATTTAAATAGATATTTTTTTTAAATATAATGGACAATTGCTTTCATGAAAACCTAATGTTTTAAAAATATAGATATTTTCTTAGTTGAAAAACATCTTATATATTAAAAAAAATTAAATATTAATTCCCACCATATCTTTTTTCCTTAGATGTTTTCTCTCATTGCAAAAAAATATATATATACATTAAAATTATTTTATTTAATATTATATTAAATAAAAAATTATATGTAAAAAAATATATTTTCTTTATGCACAAGATTATTATCAATGCTGGAATAGCACTTAGACAAATATATATACACGAAAAAGGATCTTATATAATTATTTCATAACGTGATTGTAGTCACAGATACGAAACTAACTTTTTCTCAGTGGAGCGTCCGCAGGAAATCCGTGCGAAATCCAACCGAACTAACCGTTTTCGATATGTTTGTTGCAGGGCGGAGGCAGAAGAAGAAGAAGAAGAAGTAGTAACGTCTCGTGATCCGCCGATCAGACCAGGATTACCTATGATCCCGTTGGGCGTCGCGAGGACGACGACGCTCCCGGAAGAGAGGCGCTTTTGGCAGCGGTCCTAATCTCTCCCCCTGCCCTGCCCTCCCGCGTTGTCTCTCTATTCCGCCCTCCTTCTGCCCCTCTCTCTTTCTCTCTCCTCCTCCTCCTCCTCCTCCTCCTCCTCCTTTCCCTCCTCCTCGTTCTTCTTCGACGGGCGACGACGCGCCGAGATCTCGGACACGATGGACATGAGCAGCGAGTCGAGCACCGCTCGGTGGTACGAGCCGCCTAGGTCGTCGCTGGAGCCGCCTTCGGGGGGTGCCGGGGTAGCCGGGGTGGTCGGCAACCCCAGCGACTACAGGGGTTACTACCCCCACGCCGGACCGACGGCGCACCACCCCGCGGCCGCACACTACGCCCACAGTAAGTGCACACGCTCGTCTAGTTTTTCACATTTCGTGCCTCTTCTCCATCCGCCCCTCGTCGATCGCTCTCTTTCTTCGCGCGTTCTCCCGCTCTCGCTGGCCGGCCTCCCCGCTCATCTGCTTTCACCGTCTGCTTTTCCTCCCCTGTACACGAGAGGGAAGCTCGCGTCAGTTCAACGACCGACCGACCAGCCGACCGCTCGCTCGCGGAGGACGATTCCTCCGCGCGAGGAGTCGGCTGATGGTGTGAAAGCGAGCGAGCGGACGAGGACTCTCGAAGTTAAGGCGAAGAAGAAGGAGAGGAAGAAGAAGAGGGCCTCGCCTTTTTCAGCGGCGGATACCGTGCGGCTATTAAGCGGATAATACGTATAATCTGCGAGCTATTTTAGCCTTATCGATCGAAATCCGCCCTAGTGATTCCGATGCGCGCGGTAGAAGCTCTCGATTACGGCACGACGGCGCGACGGCGTGTGTCGCGAAGATTCGCGCCTGCTTGATGCCTCGCGATACGCCGATGTACTTGGGCGAGAGATGAGGAGAGCGCGTGTGCGGTGTAACGACACACGGAATATTTTATCGCGACGCACACACACAAACACACACACACACATCGTCGACTGTATGCACACTCGCTTGTTAAACGCTCTGTTCACTTTCTTTTTTATCGAGTGAACTTGCAACACTTCAAGTTGTCAGAATTGTAAGACACTGCTGACGTGTGTGTACATATGTGTGCAGTAATCGGTTATGACAGCAGTCGGAGTGACATCACAGAGTGTGACATTCTGTGAAGTCTGCAAGGAAGAGTTCACTTTAAATTAAGAGGACATCATTGTGACAAGCAGCTTTTATATATTTATAACCGATTACTGCATATACACGTCAGCAGTGGCTTTCAGTTCCAACAACCCGAAGCGTCGCGACTTGATCCGATAAAAGGTGTGCACAACCGTTTAGCAACTTAGAGAATTCGCTTTAAATTAAGAGAACATCGTTTTATGAGACAATTTTTGCATATTTATTACCTGTTACTGCGTATACAAGTCAACAGTGGCTTTCAATTCCGTCAACTCGAAATATTGCAGTCCGATAAAAAGTTTGCAAACGGTTTAGCGAGTGAAAATGCATCGAGGAAGCGTTCAAGTTGCATCGAAATAAAGTTGCGCATGCTGCACACAACATCGTATCAGTAAACGGATATTGACCCCCGCGGAAACGGTCGAAGGGGAGGATTTTGTCACCCCCGATGTACGCGCGCCCAGCAACCCCGCCTCGGTTTCTTTCTTTCCTTCATTTTTTATTTTCTTTCTCGCGTGTTTCGAGGCTCACGAGGTTCAACGACCGCCGTGTACAGTCACCCCGTGCGCGCACGCTCGGTTCTCTCATTAATTAGAATTTCTATATTTAATTAACGAGGGCGCCTCCGAGGCTATCAGCGCCATCGAATGTCTCCCCTGTGATGCGTCGTCGCTGTTTCGCTTCTCCCCCGTTAGATGCCTGCCTCGATAATTAAATTTCTCCATCGCGGCTGGATAGGCATGCGTCCGTTCGTTCGTGCGCGTGCTCGACACTGCAACGCCACCGGGAGACCCGAGAGTGACTGCCGTAGGAGTGACATGCCCCACTGGGACAGTTCCTTGGCGCTGCGCTAATTCATCTCGGGACATTGAAGCACAGGTCACTCGACTCTTCCCCTCCCTCTCCCCCTCTCTCTTTGTTTTAAGAGCTTGTCCTTCCTAGGTGTAGAGTTGAATTAAAAGATCTTTCAGATATACTGCAGCGAAAAATATGGAACGACCTGCCTGTACAATTGCGCTCATCTAGAACATTTGAGATCTTTGAGTTCAACTTTTATGACTTATTGTTGCACCGTGGCAACTGACTGTGTTGAATTTGAGCGATCACTCTTTCGAACACTTGCCTTTATCTGCTACCAAAACCATTGTATACAACTATTGTGCTTCGCGATACATTCATACGATAATTTATTGCGCTGTACATTTATGTTAAATTTTTAGATGGTTAAGGGGATAGGTTATCCGAGAAGCGCCTAATAAATTTCGCTTCTCTCACACACTCTCTCTCTCTCTCTTTCTCTTTTTCTCTCGAGTACACTCTCGAGCAAATGAGCGCGTATCCACGTGCTACCTCTTGGCCTCTAAGTCCACTCCACTCCACCTTCTTTCTCGTTCCATAAAGCTGTCTGCTTCGCTGGTGCGTCCTTTTAAGAGAAACGTGAAAATATTTTGCAGCCCTCCATAGCTTCGTGAACAACGCGCCGCCTTCGAGAGAGGTCGTTTTCTCGAAGGCGGCGCGAGTGAGAGATAAAGCGCGCCAGAAACGCACGATTAAAGGGACGTCTACATTGGAAGTAAGTAGGAAGTAAGAGTAAGAAATTGACCAACCATAGTCGAATGTGAGAAGAATAATCAACTATGATTGGCCAATTTCTTATTCTTACTGCTTACTTCCAATGTAGACGACGTCCCTTAACTGAACGTGTGAGAGAAGGAAGTCGTCCTGTGAGTGGCTTAGGAAACGCTCGGCAGCTGGGCGAAGTTTAAGCCGAGAGGAAGTCGCGAGTAGGACGTTTTGCGGGTGATTGAATTAGTGGGAGGGGGG